GCTGTCCGACCGCCCAGCTTGCAGCGCACTCGCACTACGGAAGAAAAGCCGCCGCCCACCCCGCCGCCCGCTGACGGCGCACGCGCGAGCACCTCCCGCGACGCGACGCCGCCGCCCGCCAAGCCGGCAGACGCCAAGCCCGCGGACGCCAAGCCCGCGGACGCCAAGCCCGCGGACGCCAAGCACGCGCGCAAGAAGTACGTCCTGACCAAGCGCCGCGAGTACTGGACGGACGACGAGCACAAGCGCTTCATCACGGCTCTGGCGCTGTACGGCCGCGAGTGGAAGGCCATCGAGCGCGACGTCGCCACCAAGACCGCCGTCCAGATCCGCTCGCACGCCCAGAAGTACTTCCTGCGCCTGGAGCGCTCGCGCTCGGCCGCCCTGCTGCACATCCCGCCGCCGCGCCCGCGCAAGTCGCGCGCGCGCCCCGACCGCCCGCTCCCGCCCCCGCCGTTCCCGCCTCCGCCCATGCACCACCGCTACCCGACACACCCGCTCGCCTTCGCGCACCCCTACCCGCACGCACTCGCCCCCCCGTCTAGGCCGCTCTTTCCGGTCCCCAATTCCCACACCCCGCACCCCGCCCCCGTCGTCATCGCTCCGGCCGCCCCGCACGCCGCACCGCACGCCGCACTGCCCGCCGCGTCGCGGCCGCAGTGTGCCCCTCCGCCGCAGTGTGCCCCGCCGCCGCCGCCGCCGCCGCCGTACTTGCCGTACCCGCCCGCCACTTACCAAGCCCCGCATCAGCCCGCCCAGAGCTCGTACTACGCCCCGCCGACGCACGTGCTCCCGCCGCGCCACCACGTCACGCAGCACCCGTACTATGCACAGCCATACCAGCACCTTCCCTCGCATCACCATCCCAATTTTTATTCCCACGTCCAGGTGCCTCCGTCGACGCATCTTCCGCATGTGCGGCAGCCGCAGGGGCGGGTCGTCATGCCAAGACGAGAGCAGCCTGTCCCGGGCACTTCGCCGGTGCAGAGTGGCGATATGTCCTCGACCATCCCGTCCAATTCTCTTCCCAGTCCTGGTGGGAGCGGCACCTCCACCGATGGCGATAAGCCGCGGCTTGGTTATGGCAACTCGTCGGGAGACAAGCCTCCTAAAGCTCACCTGACGAGAACGCGTGCCCACATAGGCATCCCGCTACTGCCGTCCCTGCCACTTGGATTCGCGAAAAAGCCTGTGTCATCGGTGGATTCGAAGGATGTGGATCATCCCAAGAGTCGTAAGAGAACAGCCTCAGGGGCGTCGATTGGGAACCAGCACACAGCCGACGCGTCACCGTCTAAACGGAGAGAGTTGATTGAGCCTAGTGAGCAGAAACACAGAGTCCAGGCTCAACCATCAATCAGTATGGCAGTGCAAAGCCACACCGACAAAGCTGAAGCGCCCAGTATCAAAAACAAGCCTCAGCCAAAAGAGGAAACAAGAAAACCCAATGTAGAGCCCGCAAATGGAAGAGATTTCCAAAGTCTTCCTATTGACAGCCCCCAGGCTGCAGCCATAGAAATGGAAATGTCTCTCCCCGAACCACCAGAACGACGAGACGGTGGTGACACCGGTAGTGGGGGGAGCTTTGAAAAGCCGCGAAGCAGCTCCGCGGGCTCCACGGGTTCATCCGGAGAGGAGGCTGATATCGACAGCTCTGGTGGCTCCGGCACTGGTGAAACGGCCGCGAGAAGGCTGCATAGGGGCAGGGCAGCTATCGTGTGCAAGGATGGACACGTGCCTCCCGCAGTAGATCAACATGAAGGAGATTGCATGGTCGCTTCTCGCCTGCTCGCGCTGTGGAACGCGGCGCCGGCCATGCCCGTGAGGGCTCCGGTACCTCCCCAGGAAGTCGCAGCTCCCAACACAACAGCGCAGCAAAAGGCGGTCGCTACAGCTACTTGCTAGGTTGCACCTCATGAACGGCTTGTGTCCATGAACCGCCCCTGTCTGCTTTGCCCGTGATAGCAGAACAACAACCCCTAATATTTTGTACAGTAAACATAGACGGCAAGGGAGCAGCGCATGCATTCTCGTAGTCGAAAAGAGAAAAAAAAAACCTCGTATACGACCGCTCCTCTTTTCAGCGTGGACTTGTAGTGGACTTGTAGTGGACAGTAAGCGAAGATTTGCCAACATGTGTACTTGCAAGTGGGCGCTTTATCGGATTATGTGCCTTTACAAACAGGCGCTAGCATGAGATTATGTGGCAAACCTTGGCTCGGCGTCCAATTGCAGTTCAAACGTCCCGTAGTCGCCCAGCCGTGGTTCAGGAAGCGACGCCATTCGTCTCTTCCGCAGGCCTAGGTGTGCGAGTTCTTCGTTCCAGAACCATTCTAACTCTGTTCACAGCAGTTGCAGCGTCCGCGTCCCCCCTTCGTAGCATGATTCGCAAGCAAGAAATTGCGGTAGGATATAGCGTTGGTTAGCACATGAGCAAATAGCGTGTCTTGCGACGGAGGGAAGTAGCAAGGCTGCGCAAATCCACGTACCTGATGGATTTGATGTCGTAGGGCGGCCCGAGTCGCACTGTTCCGAAAACGACAATGACGTTGCCCTCCCACTCGCAGGGTAGCGTCTTGGCGAGTACGTCAAACACGGCTTGCCCTTCCGGCGTGACGCCAACGCCGATATGGGTAAACTCGATGTGGCGCTTCCTGAAAATGCGCTCCTGTTCCGCTTTTAGGCGCGGAAGGTCGACGTCAACTGCGGCAATTGGACGGGGCGACGTTCGCACAGGCAGGGGGAGGGGATGCAGGCGTTAGCGCGAGGAAAACATGACGGGAGGAGCGGCTGGAGCGGATGCGGGTGAGTCGCGATGAGGGAGGGAGAGAAACTCACGATTGGCGGGCCACTTGCGGGAGTCGGCAAGATCGGGAATCGGGGTGGCAGATTTGACGTTGGAGATGGGGAGCAGAGTGAGGTCAGCCGACGGAATGAGTTCGAGACAGACGAGGCCGGCGGCTGCGTCCTCGGCGTGAACAAACCCTTTGAGCGCGGTGCCGTCGACGAGCTGGACGGAGAGCGGCTTCCCGACCTCGAAGGCCATGGTGGTGGGAAGGTGAAGAGGGGCGGCGGGGGCGGGGGGGGGAGGGGGGGAGGAGGAGAGGGGGCCAGACAGAGTGGGGGCGGGGTGGTTGTTGACGGGTATACGCTGTAGCAGTGCATGGCGGGCGGAATTTCGGTCTCATGTTGAACAAAGAAAGTTTTGTGGTGATTTATTTCGAAAAATTAGATAAGGGTTGGGCAAGCATTGCTGTTGCCCAAGTCTCCGTGTGCAGCTGATTAAGACGCGTTGGAACACACGGACGGTAAATTACGCACTGCGTACAGTGCTCTAGGCAGCCCTTCTTCTGCCCCCCCGGGCCCCTTCACACTGGGCCCTTGCGTACAGAACCCTCAAGGGTACATGCCATTACCGTAGTCTTGTCTTGTGTTTCCTGGCTGAGTAAGCAAATCCGCCCCGATCCCCCATTAAGCGCATTAATGACTTCGTCTCTATGCGCATTACGACTAAGGCGACATCTGTTATAACTCCATGCAGCTGGACGTCGAAGAAGGAATCGGCCTATCTTCTTCTTTCGTTTTAACACCCTATCATTACTGGCATCCCGAGAAAATGTTTTAATTGCCTCTCTAGTCCCTTGAAGAAGTCATAATTGACCAAATTTTATTTTCATGCGATCCAAATTGCAACCCGCATGGAAGCTGGTGAGTCTCGCTTGCAGGGAGACCACCACCCGGCACGTTTTATGCTTTCAATGAATTCACAATTCATTTCAGAGAAACACAACGTACAAGTCTCATTAATCATTCATCCCTTTGCGCCACCACCACAACTGGAAGCCTCTGAGCTTCCTCTTCTTGAGTAGGAGCTAATCGATACACTGCCCGAGAGTGCCTATTTGCTTTTGCAGTCAAATGCAAAGACGCCACAGAAGCACATAGATACACCATGTACGTCAAAGGCGGCAGCGCGATCGAAACGTCTTCTCTGTCCATTACTGGCGACCACACTCGTGTCGTGTAGTCCAACCCAACCACCCCTCGAATCATTAATTCCACACACGCGTATCTCCATGCCGTGCACTTTCTGTTTTGAACAATTGCCGCAACCAGAAATCCACACGTCACCCAAAATAACACCGCCAGTACTAGTTGGATGAACATGAAGTTCACTTCACTGATGTGCTTCAGTCCTTCGAATGCATCTCCTACGAGAAGCATGCAGCTTACAATCATAGAAACCACAAACCCGAGGTCAAATAGGTTTAACGCCATCACCACGCGAAGTGTTGTCAAGTGCTTGGCATTCTTTAACAAAAACAGCCCAATCATCGAAAGAGGAGCGATGATAACTCCATTCGACACAATCCCAGCGATCAGTGGCGAGAACTGAGGACTGGCAAAGTTTTCTAACCCACTCTCGTCGAGGAATTCTTTCAACTCAGCAGCAGTGTTCCGCAGCCACATTTGAGCTCCAGCATTCTTCGACTCCTCGGCCCTTTTCTTAAGCTCGACTTCCAACCTCGAAATTTTGTCCACCAGGCTCATCTTGCCCTGTCGCAGTTGCTTGTTCTCGTTGTATAGTTTAGTGTTTTCTTTGCCTAGTTTCGTGATGACACTTGTGAGCTTAGCAAACTTTTGCTGCATCTTTTCGGCGTTCTGACGCGCGTGTTGGTCGTACCCGTCGTTCAGGCCTTTCACGGTTTCTTGGAGAGCGTCGATGACTTTGTGCAACTGGTTCAGCTTCTCTGTGACATCTTTGTCGGTTGACTGCAGGTCTTTTTTCGTCACTGTTTTTGTTGGATCTTGCGCGGCAGCAGTGAAAGCGACAAGAGTTACTGTGATGGCGATGATTGAAAATGAAATTGAGGACGACATGCTGCCTTGTGCTTCTGAACTTGGGATGCGGGCCGTCGAGAACAAAAAGGTTTTTGAACACTCCAATCGAAGTGATGTCCTAAGTGCAGTCTACTGGATAACAAAAATCCTTCACAGAAAACAAAAAAATGATGCGGAGGAGCAATAATGAGATGAACTTATATCTTGTTGTAAAACGCAATTCCTGGACTGGAAATGAAACGATCAGAAATGCGCGCTCCGCGAGTTCTTTGTACTATCTATGATAGGATTATCAATTCGTTAGTAGGAAACATAAATAACGCTTGAGTTGGTTCTGTCAGTCAGGTTGAAAACAGCAAAACTTGGAAAAGTATGCTTTACTTACAGAATACATGTGTATAGTACAAACACAGCAATAACTTTAAATTGTGCCTGTGCCGTACCAAACTAGATGACTCCTACTTCTATAAATGTGATAATTTATGAAGGCACCGACAGAGGGGAGCGAGTGGCCTAAAAACCCTACAACGTTCATTTGAAAGAGGCGCTTCCATGAGAATATAAAAATATCTACACCTTAGCGCCGACAAAAGGCCGAAATGAACCCACTCTCCGAGTCGCCACGACTGTGGTCTGAGATATACAATCACATGGGTTTGAGCCCAGCATACGATGGGATCATTTACAGTATTTAAAAAAATAAGGGTCATTTTAATGAAGCCCGCTTGAAGTTTTTGATGAACTTTCGAAACGCGGCATTTAAAAAAAAAATCAGAGGACAGTTAACTGTAAGATGGAGTTTCCAAAAGGACTCTTGTTAAGACCTGCCATGTTAAATGTCGCGAAACGCCGTAAAGAAACGCTCTAGATTGAGAAGAGCAAGCACAAGGTCTTCTACGCAAAAACTGCAACTCCATCATCCTGCGGCTACTGTAGTGAAACGAGCCATTGTTGACTGCAAGAGCAATCGTCCAAGAGACTACAGTACTGCAGCTTGCAAAAAATTTCTGAATTTTCAGTTTGAATCTATGCGGTTAATGCTGGGAAATCTTTTGGTCCATTCGGATTTATCTTCTTCCTTCAAAACACTGAGTTATTGAAGTGTCAGCGTTGACTTGCGAGAGCTGCGAGGTTGGTGAGGTCTCAACCTTGCTCTAACATGAGCTTTTGTTAGCTTTCCTCCCTCGCGTTTCGTGCAGGGCTGATCATCGCCTTCGTTGCCGCTCAAGTTCCCGTCCGTGCAAGGACCAAACGATTGTTGGCATACAGTTCTGAATTGCAACTAAGCATTTGACTATCACCCAATTTGCCCAGAGTTCGCTGCCACTAAACGCAGATCCGCATCATCCACCATGGCAGCCAATCGACCCACACAGAACACTGTCCTATCGACTGGGTCGGTAGCCTCCGAAGTGAGCATGCTCTTCCGCACGATGCGCGTTTCGGAAATCCGAGCCATAGAGTCCAAGATTCGCCATGAAGCCGAAGACAAGTCCGATTCTCTCCGCGAGTTGTTGGGTACGCGGTACAAAGATCTCTTACGCGCCGCTGATGAGATTACAACCATCCGAGATGCATCTTCTAATAACGTGCGGGACGCGCTGCGCAACTTGGCAAAGTCGGCGACGCAGCTGCGAGAGCACTTTGCGGAGAAGAGCGGACAGAACCCTGATAGTCCCGCCCCGGTCACGGATGACCTTGCGAGAAGGAAGAAAGTTCACGTCATCGGTTCCAAGCTCAAACATATTGTTGACTCACCGGAGGTGTTGTACGCTCACCTGGAGGCAGGCCATGTGTACGAGGCGGCGGTGCGCTACTTTCTTGCGTCGCGCAACTACCAGGAGCTGAAAAATACGCAGGGGGTGGAGGGCGTGGCGAATCGATTTGCGGAGCGTCGGTGGGACCAAGTGCAAGTCTTCAAGAATCAGGTTCTTGCGGCAGCGGAGAAAAAGCTGATTACGCCTGGCTCAGACCCAGCACTCTACTCAAGAGTACTCGCGGCCCTGTTCATATTGTCAGGGAAGGATCGGGATGTTATGACGACTGTACAGGGAATGTTAGCCTCGAGGATAAGCTGGATTGAAGATGCGAATCGAGGCCCTTCTAAAGCCGTCCCAGCGCGGATGCGGGCACTTGCGGCCATTGTCAGCGATTCTATTTCATGCATGTCTAAGACGTTTTGGAACACTGAGTCGGGAGTTGAACCACTGCTGCGTGACGTTGACATTGCCGCAGCAGATGAGGTCAAACTCCTCCGTGAAAGTAACGCTTTAAAGAACGCATGCGCCTCGTGGATTACCGATGTCAAGGGCTGGGTGGGAGAACACGGCAAAGACATTCTTGCATCTGCAGACACATCTCGAATTCTGGCTGACACTTTGGGTGGGATAGACGAGGTCTTCCAAGCTGAGAGTTGGGCGAATGATTGTCAGACGGCCTTGGGCCAACCACCGAGATTTGTATTGAACATATTCACACCCGTCATCAGCGAAAGAGCAGCCACAGTAGCAAGCGAGTCAGTCCAGAGATCTGTGGACAACGTGCTGTCCGATATAGAGGGAGTATGGGCGGATCTAAGTGTTGGTTCGCACAGGGGGAAGCTTCTGTGGTCTGCAATATCTAGTCAGGCGCTGAAATGGAATATTGACTCCCTCGACGGCTCTGAAGTTGGCTCAGAAACAGGGCGAAGTGGAGGCGAGGCGGACGATATTGTGCGTAATCTCGTTTGCGACGGACCAGTCTCTAAAGTCATCGAAGTCTTTGAGTCATCACTTTCCGAGTCTCTGAGGGATGTCACGATTCTCACACGGAGGGTTCCGTCAGTTTCACAAGCATTTGATGCATCTGTTCGCGATTTTCTTCCACGAGTCTTGGATGGCTTACAAAGCCACCTCGACTCAATTCCGCTGACGTTTTCCGATGACCCCACGAGTGCTGAGCCGTCCTGTGAGCACGTGATGGAAAAGGCACTATTCATTTCTCGGATCGCCGCCGCGCTCGGAAGTGCGGAATTGGTAAGGTCGGTGTATAGTTTTTGCGACTCAGTCACAGAAGGACATTCCCAGAATGCATTAACTGCTAGTACTTCCCATGATGTGGCATCTAGCAAGAAGTCCCTGCAAAACTTTGTTCACAAGGCCTTCGATATCTGTGAGAAGGGTTACAGAACATGGGCAAACCGATTATGTTCCCGTCTCAGAGACCAGTTATATTCAGAACTTGTAAGCGAGGGTGCCATACTTGTCAAGATTGGGTGGGCATCCACAGCCGGCTCTGAAAGTGAATCGGAGAAGATGAAACCTGATAGCTTCAGTGACATGCGATATCCCACTTCTGCATCCACAGCAGCAACAAAGTTTGTTCTACGTGCATGCAATTACGCAAATCGAGCAGGCGGATTCGCATTACCTGAGAGCGCGATTAGTTTTCTCCGCGAGGAAATGTCGCGAGCGGCGGAGCATGCCTACCGAGAGGCTTTCGTCTTCTATTTCCCAAAGCATGGGGGAAAAAAGGACAGTGCCTCACTAAGAGAAAGCGAACAACCGGAAGTGGCAGTTATGCAGATGCTCTTTGATGTCCTGGTCCTTAAGAGGCTACTTCCTGAAGCTCCAAAAGAAAGTCGGGCTCGAAATTCAAAAGAAGGGCTCAATGCCATTGAACAACAATTGCATTCTGCGATAGATCCCATTAACTTCGCGTCCTGCAAGAAAGCCCTCCATGGATCTGTTGATGGATACTGTGGTCGGACTTCTGTCATGTTTGGAACAATAACGCGGAGAGGGGTCAGCAATTCTTCACCCCGAAAACGCCCTCTCATTAGTTCAAGTCAGTTAGCTTCTTCAAATTTGGTTTCCCTTTCTCGCACCGTCCCGCGCTTCACCTATCTCCCTGCCCCGATGCCGTCAACGTACACAACGGCTGGCGTTAGCACTGCAGGCCTGAGCGCGAAGGCGGCCTTGGGAGCACTGAGGTCAGAGGCGGCCGCCGCAAATGGATCATCATTTGGTAAGAGGGAAGTGGAATCATCAGTTGCGGAGTATGCCTCCAAGGTGTCGGAGAGCGTGGGTCGTCTTGGAAGAGGTTTCTTTGAATCATGGACCAGAAAGGCTGGCTAGCCCGTTTTGTAAAATGCCTCTTCCATGTATATATCCTTTTGATTACGACCGCCACGATTTTGGCTAGGGCTGAAAAGGGTTCTAATATTGTGCATGTGGGCGCAAATCATTTGCTTGATGGGGTATTAATTTAGAGTACAAGTATACAAAACTGCGACTTTGCTTTTATCGTTAAGCTATGACTTCAAGCATGACCAAAGCGACTGCTTTCCCAACTACAAGCTGAGATGGATGGCACCCTCTGGCTTTCTTTTCAGATTGGCAATCCGTTGGGAAATCTTTCTTTTGGCATTGCCTGAATCTGCATCTGCATCGCATTGTGACAGCGGCTCGTAACGTGTTTTGTAGTTTTTTCTTGTCGGACGCATGGATCCGGTATCAGGGGCTGTTAGAGTTGACTCCCCGTTGGCGTTTTGAATATCCGCTAAGTTCTGTTCAATATTTTCGACAACTTCATCTTCACGTTCAGCTCTTTCATCCAATGTCCCCGCGATCAGCTCCCTGATGTCATGCATTTCCTTAAAGTCTAAGGAAACACCGAGCTTCGTCGTAAGAAAGTCTGCAATATTGGCTGCCAGTTCATCTTCTTCCTCCATTTGCGTATCTTGGGATTGGGGACTTTTTTGTTTTGGAAGAACTCCTTTCTTCTTGTTTTCATCCTGGGGACTGGGGGGTGTCTTCGGAAATGAGTCTCTGGACAATTGACGGTCTTCTAAATCATCCTTACTTGAGAAATCACTTGCTCTTACAGCCTGTCCATGAACTGCAACATTCTGAATGAGTTCTGGATTGCTCTTAGTTACGAGGCTACTACCCATTTTTCTTTCATCACTCAGAGTTGATGCTCTCCCTGGCGTCGGGGTTCGCCTGGGATTCGAAATATGTCTGGTGGGTGGCTGCCATTCTGAATTTTCCAATTCATCTGAAACCTCAGCGGCGTCCATGTCTTCTGAGAGTTCGGATGCTCTGGCCTTCACTGCTTGTCCTTTTAATATCAAACCCTTTTGAGCTGGAAGAGGATCAGATTGTTCCAAGTCAGTCCCAGGATCTAGATGTCCTCTTTCCTCTTGTTCTACCAACTTTCCTCTGTTCATGAGATCTCTCAGGTGATGTTTTGTCCTTTCCCGGAGACAGAATCCTCCTTTGCAGATCAATCCTACCGCACACTTATCTTCTTTCCGAACACAACGCTCTCCAAGAGTTCGAATTTGTACAAGCTTATGCGCGTGCAAATTCATATAATCGCTCGTTGATTTCGTGTCATCAGTCATGTGATTTCTCCATAAAGAATCGTTGGGATCAATTTGCGGGCAGTCAAGATTGAAGTGCTCGCAGCAGAAGACTCTCTTTTCAAGTGGTAGCCCTGTGCCTGTTCCACATCCCATTGCCCGGGCAATAGGTACCCCGCCTGCATTGCGGCACAGGTAAGCTAAACAAATAACAGTGAAAAGCATCATTTTCAAGTAGAGGGCACTTTGTGTCCGAGCTAAACAATTCTCAATACTAGACCTCGTAGATGCTTCCCCCTTCTTCAAAGTTTTAGAGGAGATCTGGCAATGTAGCTGACTACCTTTCTAATATCTGATATCACAGAACAGTGGTTAAATGCACAGACGTTTCTCCATCTCAGAAATATTTCTCCTTCCCCTCAGAATACTATGTTTTTCTTGGGGCACAAGTCAATACATGCGAAGTGATAAACTCTTCATGGCGACAGAGATTGTTCATAAATAAGTCGTCGTAGTGAATTGATATTTGTTTGGAATAATCTGGGATCAAAACTGACGTATCTATTTCTTTGTGCTGACCTGATTGAAACTCGAGAAATCTGCGTTTTTTTTTATTTCGAGTACAGTACAAGACTAGTAAACACTGGTAACCGGCTTGTGGGATAAGACAATATCCTGAAAGTCAGCATTACGGGATTTTGAGATGGAAACAACGCGGAATTCAATGCGCCTTTCGCTCTCATGGGTCCTGGGTCGAGTTTCAGCTTGGAATACTTATGAGTGGTAACTTTGTCATTGAAGCAAAGAGCGTTTTGAGTGAAGGCTTTCACTTCATTGCATTGAGAAAATGAGGTTCTACTCTTAATTTTGATCCAGTATTGTGCATCACGGCCACTTTGCTGAATATTTCATAAACCATTTGAGATGCATTCTGCATGCACTGAACTGTGCACACATAACTGACGTCGTATTGAAGATTGCGGCACTGTTGGGACAGTCACTCAAAAGCTCATCTGGTCACAGATCTTTCACATGTAAATGTGCCACGATCCTACGACATAGTACAGAAAGTGAGGCACGGGCATGTTCACGTACAACAAACCGCAATCCCCAACACGACTTGAAGATAAGACCAAAACCCTAGCCCGCACTTACCTTCGAAGTCTTGTCAACTAAAAGAAAGCTTGCATTCTCGAAATCTTGTAACACTGGATTGTAACCATCCTTGCACGTGGTGGCATTGATGGACGCTTCGGATGAATGCTCCTCAAAGAATTTTTCCTGGCTCAGGATGCGGTACAAATAGGAATTTTCAGAAACTCCGTTTCCAGCGAACGAATTGTGACATCTTTGCAGAGCGTGAAAGTTTGTTGGAAACATTATATCCACTTTCCCAAATGGGGCGGCTGTGACTGATTCGTATACTACAGTTGATCCCTGTTGTACGCGCTGGACGACAGGGGCATTTTCACCCGGTAAAGCACCCGGGAAACTATTGAAGTCACTTATAGTCATACCTGCATGAGACAATGACGAGCTGATGGCCTTCAGTAACTGGTATGATGCCGTGGGCACCCATAAATCACGCTTTCCACCCGTCAACATATTCTCAAAACTAACGCGAGCTCGAGACAGGAATGATGGGTCGCGCTGTTGCGAAATAAAGTGATCATTCTCGTCCGAACGTAGAAGGTCAAAAGCCTTCACAGCTGCACTTGTGGTTTCATCAAGCTCTGACCTCCACTCTAGCATGATAGCAGTAGAGTCTGATGGGGGGTTCTCTGAAAGAATCGCCACAGCCTGCTCAACGCTACCAGCGCCTAGCCGCAGCAAATCATGAGGCAGGTTGTCAAGCACCTCCATTGCCACAACATGGCAGGGAGTAGATCTCATTTCCTCTGATTGCTGGGCATCCGAGCTCAGTGATTGAAACCAAATTCTCGCATCTACGTTATGAACTTTCGCGGTGCCTAAATTGACCCAATGCCTCAAGTTTTCTGACTGCACCTTGGCAAGTGCGGGAGATACTTCGATCAAGTTATACCGCACCCTCCGCAGAAAGTCTGGTGCAACCTCCGACCAATGTGCAAGGATGTCTGCAGCGAGAGTTCCTCGCCCTCCGCCGATCTCAATGATGTTCACTTTGCTCTCGTCGCGGTTTACGGCATGGATGCGATGCGCCACGGCGCGTGATAGGAAGGGGGAAAATAGTTCAACCGGCGTCATCCACCCATGGCTCGCGCTAGCGTACGTCGCTGCAACCGCTTTTTCATATGCTGCTCGGGACTGCAATTCGCAGAGGTTGATCTTCGTCTCATGTCCGAGCACGGGTGACTGACCTCTTGTAAAATAGCCGCCGACCGGATCGTACAGGGAGCGTTGAATATAATCTCGGAACAACAGATTATTGGTTGATATTGCTGAAGATAATGTCGGTGATGTAGAGAGAGCTCGTCGCAACATTGCGCGACTTGAACCACAGGGCGAATGACGCAGTGGGAATTTTGGTATCAGCTCTCAGCTCTCAGGGATTCTTAAATCGTGTTATGTGATCAGCACTCATTTTCTTAAAATTTCAACCTCCGTCACGACAAACGGGTTTCCTTTTTCGTCTTTTAACTCAAAGAGAATGCTTGAGTATCGCTTGCATCAGTTTCAACTCAATACGACGATAATCCTGGGTGAGGGGTCTTGATGAAGGTAGACACCCCGAGAAAAAGTAAATGTCACCTACTTCGGAAAACTTTTGGCGAAAACTTGGACGGTGTATCCTCAAACATGGAAAGAAATGTAGCTGAAGCGTACACAGAATCGATCTTAAAGCAAACCCGAAATATCAGCCAATCCCAAACGGGGTCAATTTTAGTCGAGACAAACGTTGTAGTCGTATGTCAGTTTAAACACAGAACAAGAGTGTTCTGCTAGTTACTTGCTGTGTGGCGCACTACTCTAGCCCAGGTTCCGACTCACAAATTGAGTCATGCTCATTTAGTCAAAGCGAATGACGTCCTTGAATAGGACCCTGGTAAGACCCCGATCTCTTCGGGACAAGCAACACATAGCAGTTCGCAAACCATAGATCATGACGGGAAATTGGGATCTCAAAACGTTTGTGAATTATCAAAACCAAGGGAAATTGTTTTCCCAACAGCCCTGGAGGCTATCAACGTCCGTGAATGATAGCGCCCTCAAGCTCAAATATCAATCTCCAATAGAAGACGACGAGGGTCTTCAATAAGGGTCTTAATTCTTCTGAGGAAGGTGACAGCCTCCCTTCCATCAATGAGGCGATGGTCATAGCTGAGTGCCACGTACATCATAGGTCTGATGACTATCTCATCCTTGACAACGACGGGGCGCTTCTGAATTATGTGCATTCCAAGAATAGCGCTCTGGGGCATGTTCAAAATGGGAGTACTGAGCAAACTGCCAAAGACGCCACCATTACTGATAGTAAAAGTACCCCCTTGCATCTCCTCGAGAGTGAGTTCGCCGCTCCTTGCGCGTTCCCCAAGGGAGACGATTGTCTTTTCAATTGTGGCAAAGTTCATGTTTTCACATCCACGGATGGCCGGAACGACAAGACCCTTAGGAGTAGACACAGCGACGGAAATGTCAACATAGTCACGATAGACGATATCGTCACCATCAATGAAACCGTTGACCTCCGGTTGTTCCTCAAGAGCGACGGTACAGGCCTTGACGAAAGCAGACATGAAGCCGAGCTTCGCTCCGTGACGTTTTTCAAACGCGTCCTTGTACTCCCTGCGCAAATCAATGAGAGCGGACATATCCATCTCATTGAAAGTCGTGAGCATAGCAGCCGTGTTCTGGGCTTCCTTGAGCCTTTCCGCAATCCTCTTACGCATCCTAGTCATAGCCACTCTCCTCTCGCCACTATCCACCATACTCCTCGGCGGGTCGACCTTGACCGGTTCCCTCCGCGCGGGGGCGGGCTTCTCCTCTTTCGGTCTCTCCCCAGGCACGGGGATATGCTCAGGGGTGGGCTCCGACACTGGATCGGCGGCTTCCTGGGCGGCGGGAGCCGCACTCTCAGCCTCGTAGTCGATGAGCCCCAATTGGGCGCCGACCTCAACGACATCGCCCTCGGAGGCGGTGCGCTCGACGAGGACGCCGGAGCTTTCCGCGCGGACGTCGACGACGATCTTGTCGGTCTCTAACTGGACGAGGATCTGATCTTCGGAGACGCCCTGGCCCGCGTCGACGAGCCACTCAGCGACGGTGCCCTCGCGGATGGACTCGCCCATTTCCGGGACGGGCAGC